CTAAAATTGTAATTTATATATAATTTTAATATATATAAAAAAATCTGGTAATTTAATGTAGTTTAGTGTATATACAGTCTAAAGCCAGATAATATGCAAAAAAAGTGATCAAATTTTACTATATATAGTTCAATGACTTATAATATAAATCACATAATTTACATATTATCAATTTGATTAAAATATTCAATTTATTATATTATTTAAAATACGCTTAATACGCTTATGAGATTTATAATTGCATACAGTGAGAACTCTTTAAATGCATCCCTTTAGGATTATAATGAAAATTTGAAAAAATGTGTATTTAAAGAGGATATGTATTTAAAGAGAGAAATTTTATATGATCTATATATACTTGAAGATGTGTGAAGTATGCATTTATAAAAAAAAATTTATAATTTATGTATTTAGGAAGAGTGTATTTAGAGAAATCTCACTGTATAATACTTAATCCTTTTCTATATGTATTCATAAATCTTTAACTCTACCTAGTATATTTGCATATTTGTATTAATAAGATTAAATTTAACATAACAGGAACTGTTTTTTCTAATCCTTTAAAAGTATAATTACAATTATTTCAAGTATATTGCTTCACTATATCCTAAAATCACTTAATAAAATTTAGAAACTTTGAATAAAAAATAATCTTATGATCTCAATTTTTAATTATCTCTTAAATCAAGGGTTTTTGTATAGTAAAATCAGGTTGAAGAGAAAGGATTCTAATAGCATAGCAATTATTTTTTGTAGATAAATAATCTTTGTATTTAGAATAAAGTCTTTAAGCCCAATTTTCTATAGTTCTCTTTTTTTAATACCAGTTTGATTCTTTTTGAATGTCTATCTGAAAGATATATCAATTGAATTTCTCTATTAATTTTAATATCATTTTTTAATTTTTTTATTATCTGGATAAAGATTTATGTAATTAAAGCATTCAGAGCATAAGTCACCAGAGTATATTTGATATAATTATATCAAATATACTCTAGTGACTTAAGTTAGGTTATGACGGTGATGATATAATCTAATGGTGGTGATGTAAACTAATGGCGGTGACATAATCTAATGGTGGTGATAAAATCTAATAGTGATGACATAATCTGATAGTGGTGATATAATCTAATATCATAATCTAGTAATGATATCATAATCTGATATGGTAACATAATCTACAAGTGGCTTCATAACATATATTTGATTATCTTTACGGCTTTCTAACTATTATTTTAATTAATTCCTGCTATATAGAGTTATAGTGGGTTAGTAATATCACGTTCTATTGGTATGGTTATTATATGATCTAATGGTAATGTTATAATTTAATGGAGTATATTTTCCTGATTATCTACAACCTTTCTTTTATCAAGAAACTATCTATGTGTTTACATTACTCTGTATTCTTATTCCTAAAGAGCTACCTATTTATTTACCTGCTTCTAGATCTATTTGGTAACTTGTTAAAATATCGAGGATGCTTCTTTTTTGCATCTGGTTAATTGCCTTTTAAAATACTGAAATAGTGTAAAAAAAATAAGCGACAGGTAATACAGTAGATTTGTGATTAATTTTTGCCAGCTCTATAATATAACTCTGACTGATCTTTTAGGCATATGATTTGAGGATCCAATTTGGTGTCATGATAGCATCATGATAGCATCCTGATAGTATTATGCAATTCTCCTAGAACTGTTATGGAACTGGCAGGAATCCAGATAAGTTCTATTAGTTCATCAGCTTGGATGCTAAGTTATTATGTCTAAAATTCAGGTAAAAATACGGAATAGTACTGGCTGAAATTATCTAAATTATACTGCGAAAGATATCAAATCTTTTCACCTGAATATACACCCGAATACATATCTAAATAGTGATGCCTTTTTCCATTTTTATATAATATAATTACAGAGAAGACTTCATTTTTCAGATACATATCTACTTGTCTTCTTTTTACGATTTGCTTACTAGCTTACTATATATCTTCTTTTTTGAAAAATGAAAAAATTCTTTTTGGTATACCTCTATATTACGTAAAGGCTAATATTATATTTGAGTACATATCTAAACTAGTGAAGCCTTCTCACATTTTTATATAATATAATTACAGAGAATACTTCATTTTCAGATACAACTGGATACCTTTCTTCTACGATTTTCTCACTAAGTTCAAATGAAGGCTTCTGCTATTTTTATATAATATAATTCTGCAGAAGCCTTTATATCACATTTGAGTACATACTAGTGATAGAATAACCTTCTGCCAATATTTATATAATAGATTACGCAGAAGGCTATTCTAAGTATCACCTATTAAGAATATGTTTATTTACAATTTTTTTACTAATCTGCTATACATCTCTTTTGCATTATTGAAAAAATAAATTAAACATTTCAAAAATATATTGGAGTATATAAAGTTTTACCTACTGACGCTATGTATACCTCAACTACTTCTAACCAAAATTATAAAACTAAGCCAACGGTCGCCCGCTATAACAGCGTCGAGTCCTTAGCTGATATTTTATCATGTAATGATATTGTGATAGAATTTGATAATAGGATGACCGCTATACTTCAGCAAAGCTTATCTAGTAAGCAACCCATATATTTCATGCCTACTGAAGTTAATGATGATACCAAATATATAAATGGGCTCTTTACCTATATTTTATGTATCACCAGTTCTTTGATTAATAGACAAAAGGCAGTCATAAATATTACAGGCATCTGACCCTTCTTTGATATCGAAGTACCTGAAAAGATGTCGTTATCTACATTTAAGACCAAATTAGTAAGGATATTATCTAATATTCTTAATAGCATATCAAAGTTTGGAATTAAGACTATTATCGTTTTCCCACTTCAAGGATACCATACAGAAAAGAAATCATATTTGTGTGAGAACATGGAACCACTATGACCGATACAATGCATTAAAAGCAGTTTGTGCTATTGGAATATATACAGTCTCAGATGATCTAAACTGCCAGTATTATTATCACAAAGTGGTCTGTGAAGAAAGATTACCTCTTTCAAGTTGGGTGCTATTAAGTAATTATTTGTCAGAAAATACTTATTTCTTCTGAGTATCCGTAAACAATTATAATCCAATAAGCAATAATGAGTATAATAATCCATTATTTTTCTCATTGCTTTCATGGGATCGCACCCTTGTTTTCACATGAGATATTGAGATATATAGCTTACGAAAAACAGATGAGATGTCTAATGCAAAATACGAAGACGTTGTGTTCATGATTTGTATAACAGTTCATTAGAAAGACAATCCTGAACCATTAAAGCAAATCTGTATTGTTGACGTTGAAACTGCAATAGACTCACAGTTAATTACGATTATATGCAAGTCTCAAGTTAATTTATTAAAAGCATTCACCTTATGCTGGAAACTTTTAGCCTCAGATATACATATAGACTTTAATGATTCACAATATGACTGGCTATTTATTGTGAAGAAAGCTAATAAATTAGAGGTTCTCAAATGGATATTCAATCATATGACATTCAAATTGGTTTATCTGGAAAAAATTATAAAATGGGAATATCGATATAATATGATAAAAGTAAATGATGGAAAATTCTATTCAAAACATCTTAAAATATCTGGCTGTGTGGCTATTGACATCTGACCCTATTTTATGGGATTTTATCCTAAAGCTGAAAAAAGTAGCCTAGCATATTACTTAAAGTAGTGTAAACTTGATAACAAAGTAGATTTGCCTATTCACTGCATAAACAAATATTATGAAAAAGTATTAAAAGAAATAAATGCCACAACAGTCGAGCAAATATGTGAAATAACCAAATATTATATCATTGATACCTTTAGTTGTCAGAGGTTAATGGTAAAGTATAATGCAATTAATGAGTATAGAGAGGTAACATCCATAGCCTTATTATTATTATTTGATACACATTATTTTGCGGAAGGCATAAAGGTTTACAATCTTTTAAGTGCTAGTGCATGGCAAAGAGGGATTCTAACCAGTATGATTTCAAGCCAACAAACAGAAACTGGAAAATACCCTAGAGTCTATGTTTTCCCACCAGTAAAGGGTTTCAAATATAAACATTCTGTAACTGCTTATATTTCACATCATTATATCCAAGTCTTATCATAACATACAACCTCTCACCCAACAAAATCATTTTATCTTAAAAGCATGCTGTATCTGTAAAATAAAGCAACAAAAAGCTTCATAAGATAGAGTTTCTATTTAATAACAATTCCCAACATGCTTGGTCGTTCAGCATAATAATATTCCTGAAGAAAAGGGACTCTATACTAGCATATTGAAATATTTATCAGGTAAACTAAATGAGATAAAGAAGCGTCTTGCCCCTTTGAAAGAAATAAAGAAAGATATGGACTTTTTATAAGTTCAATAGGTAGAGGTTTGTCATTATCAGAAGCCATTGAACAGATCTTAGTGAGTACAGAGGTAGAAAAATGTAGTGGTCTTATTAATAATTTATATTATTTTATTCATAAAGAAAAGCATGAATTCATAGCAGAATATGATTTTGTTTGTTTCGATTGTTCTAGTTTAGATAAAAAACAATATGCTTTCAAGGTATATATGAATACATTCTATGGTACAGCTAAAGATAGTAAATTCTTTTTCTTCTTACGTGAACTTGCTGGAGGTGTCACATCAGCTGGGTAGAGAAATATCAAACTGATTGCTGATTTCGTTAAGAGAAAGGGATTCAGTATAAAATATGGAAATACCAATTCTTTATATCTAGTCTATCCAAAAGAATGCTTTTAGAGTTGTAATGAAGTTTATGATAGTAACAATGGAATCTCAAAAGACGAATATTAGTCTTGAATGGTAGAGATCTCTATGGTGAAAATGGAAAAACTTCACAATAAAATTAATGTCTTTTACAAGAAAGATAACAGATCTTCTTACCTCAAAATGGCATATGAGAAAGTCTTATTTCCAGTAATATTTACTGAAAAGAAAAAATACTATGGCATTCTACATGAAAGCAAGCTGAACTTTAATAAAGAGCTTTTCATTTAGAAAGTTAAAGTTATAAAGCGGAAGCAGTCTAAACACTTTTGTAAGGTGGAAAAGAAGGTTATAGAAGAATCTATGAGGCTGGATTAGGGCTTTTAATCGAATCGAGTAAGATCGATGATTGATTGTTTCAATCAATTTGTCGATCGCAGAATATTGCCATCGATCAAAATTGGACTAATTTTAATTGATTTTTAATCGATTAAATTTCTATGAATGATCGATTAACAATTATTATGTTTGATCGATTATGTCATTA